CTGCCCCCGTGCACACCCACACCTCGCGCTTGCCACACTGCACAAAGAGGGGGTGGCCCACGCACCCGGAGCGGGGCCTGCCTGGGCACACTGCCCCGCCTGCACAGACGGGGACGCAGCTACAAGCGTGTGCACGCATATCACCCTTACGTACGTGCACACATGCGTGATGCTGCCAGGCTCTGACACACCTCCCCATGCGGCCCCTGGTCTGCTGGCTTCATGGGGAGGGACAGCAAGGGATGAGAAGATGAACACAGAGGGGGTGGACACAAACCCGCCTGGGGCAGCCGGGAGGGTCCACGCGCGTCAGCCTCTTCACACCAACACGGGCACACACATCCCTCACCGTGGGCCAGCCAAGAGCTCCTGGGGTGCCGGCAGACACCCTGGCACATGGCTGGGTCCTGCCCGTGTTGTCAGGCAGAGCTCTATCCCCCATCTATTAAAGCTTCTCCTTTTTAGACGCTGCTTTCAATTGTGAGCGGCTGCCAAACTGGGATTCACTGGGCTGACATTCCCTGCTAGGTTCTGTCTTTCCAGATTTTTTCCTTGTTTTGAAGTTTCAACTTCAACAGCTGTTTCTGTGGATCCCTTTCCCTAGGAGAGAGGTACTGCAAAGCTGTCCTTGGAAGAGCCCCGACATCAGGGACTTGCTGGGCTGGGCAGAGTCCCCAGGCTGAGGCACGCCCCCCTCCATGCCAGCGCAGCCCCTGAAGCTGGGACTCACCTCCACCTCGCATTCGTACTCAGAGGCATCGAGCAGGGTCACTCTGCAAAGGGCGCTCTTCACTTTCTTGGTGGTTTTCTGGGGTGACTTCTGGGTCTTGCTGGGGGTTGTTTTGTCAGAGAGACCATCTGTCTCACTGTAGTCCTTCTCTTCCATCTCTGTGCCCTGCAGTGGGGAGACACAGAGTGTTACCGGGCACCACTGCCAGGACAGACAGACAGACAGAAGGGGAAAGCCCTCCAGCAGCAGGCAGAAGAGGGCAGCTGACCGAGGGTGGGCTGATGGCCTCTTGGGAGTCCACAGCCAAGCCCAGTTCCCCCACCCCATGCCACCGGCACCACTGGGGTCCCTGGAAAATGGACACCTGTGAGCCCGGGGTCAGTTCAGCACCCGAAACCTCCATGCATGGAGCCTGCTGGCAGCAGTGCAGCTCCTGACGTGGGGGTGCAGCCCCTGCTCCCAGCCCTGCCAGGGGCAGCTCGGTCCTGGGACATGGGGGGCCGCCCACTTCCTCCCCCTGCCCTGGCTGGCAGCTGCAGCAGTGCCATTTCCAGCACCGTCAGCACTTTGGGCCGCACGCTGCTCCTTCTGCCTGCCCTGTCTGTGAGGACCGTGGGGGCAGCTGGGAGGGAGCCAGCAGAGCCCACCCGCTGCCCTGGGGGCAGGGGCCTCCCCTCCAGGATGTTGCCCCGGGGCCACAGGGGAGGTGCCCACCTCACCGGGCTCCCCACAGACCCCACGCGGCAGCAAGGACACGGCGATGGCACATCCCCCTCCTATGCTGCGCCTTCCTCTCTGCCACATCTCACAGCACCCAGCTGCCACCCACTCACCGGCTCCATATTTCGGGCATCGGACTGTGCTCCGGGCTTCTCGCTGGCCTCAGTGTCCCGGCTGGCGGGGCTGGCGGCTCCAGTGGTAGCCGCCTCCAGCTGCTGCTGCGGAGCCTCCTCCTGAGTGTTCTTCACCTCCGAACCAGGGCCCGTCTCCGTCGTCATGGCCACTGGTCACCCTGCTCTGCCACTGCCACCCATGAGAAGAGACAGGAGGTGTCACCGGGGTGGACAGGGATGGAGGATGCTGGTCAGGCAGCCAGCAGCCCGGGCACTGCCCATCCCTGCCCGCTGCCAGACACCCGGCTCCCCTCCGCAGCGGGAGGTGCTTTGCAAAGGGCCACGGCAGCAGCACAGGCTGTTGGGATTTCACACTCCGTTGAGCCAGAGGAGAAGGGCCAGTGGTGTGGGGGGGACACCAGTGGCAGGGCCCCACGGTGGTCAGGGGCCAGGGCTCATGCCCCATCCCCGCACTCACAGCAGGGAGCAGGGCCGGCCGTACCCCCCTGCTCCCCCCAACCTCGGGGCCTTCGGTACCTTCACTGGTATTTCTATGAATGGAAGGGCTTATTCTGGAAGGAAAAACCAGGCTGTGAGTCAGGTTAAAGGCTGCACTGACACAGCAAATTGCAGGCACTGACAACTCCACACATTGCATCTGGGACGGCTGGTTTTTCCCCCTCTGGACCTCCCAGCAGCAGCCGCACGCTGGGTTCCCACGGCCGGCATGGCCGGACCCTGCATGGCTGGGGGACAAAACCTGCCTCCAGCTCCAGCTGCCTGTCCCATGCAACATGAAAAAACAAACCCGGGGCCAGGAACAGGGGAGGGGAAGGCACTTTCCCTGCTGGGTGCTCAGTTTTTGCGACCTTTACAGTTTTGAAACCCTCATGCAAATGCAGTGTGGGGCCGGCAAGGGCTCCTGGGATAGTCCACGCATGCACAGGGCATCGAGCACCCTTTGTGGCTGTTGCCCATCCACCACTCCGGTGGCTCAGGCCTCACCAGATCCCCATCACTGGGCTCCCCGGGCCGTGCCTGGCTACACAGAACCTGCTGGGATGGCTGGCGCCGGAGTGACGGAGGACTGTGGCTGTGGCTGGGTGAGCTGGCTTGGTTGACAGCATCTGCCTGCGGTCACGTCGCCCACCTTGCCCGCAGAGCAGCCACAGAAGCAGCCCAGATTGATGCCTGCCACACCAGAAAAAATGCACTTTTTTGGAGCGTGGAAGCCCATACTGGAGATTTCTGATCCCTGTTTCTGGAACGACAGCCCACATGGCACAGGCAGGGAGCCGGCTTGTCCCTTAGCTGCCAAACCCCAGGCTTCGCCCCAGCCCCAACAGCACTAGCAGAGGGATGAGGGCCCAGCCGCAGCTCCAGGCCACAGACCCGGCCACCCTGGGGCTGGCGGGGCTGCTTCCTGACGTGACACCGCCTGCAAGTCCCACCTAGCTAAGTGCTGCTCTAGGAGCTATGGGAGAGCAAGAGCCTGGTCAGGACCATGACCTACAGCAGGCAGGGAAAGATCACTTTTAGAATCACGGAATGGCTATGGTCAGAAGGGACCTTCACAGACCACCCAGTCCAACCTCTCTGCCGCGGGCAGGGACATCTTTCACTGGATCATCACAAAGCCCCATCCAACCTGGCCTTGAACGCTCCCAATGATGGGGCATCCACAGCTTCTCTGGGCAGCCTGGGCCAGTGCCTCGCCACCCTGAGCATTAAACATTTCTTCCTTACATCCAGTCGAACCCTGCCCTGTTTCAGTTTAAAACCCTTGCCCCGTGTCCTGTCACAGCAGGCCTTGCTAAGAAGTCTGTCCCCATCTTTCTTATAAGCCCCCGTTAAGCCCTGCAAGGCCGCACTCAGGTCTCCACGCAGCCTCCTCTACTCCAGGCTGAACACCCCCACCTCTCCCAGCCTTCCCCCATCGCAGAGGGGTTCCAGCCCTCGGACCATTCCCGTGGCCTCCTCTGGCCCTGCTCCAACAGGTCCATGTCTGTCCAGTGCTGCGGACACCCAAGCTGGGCGCAGGGCTCCAAGGGGTCTCACCAGAGCAGAGCAGAAGGGCAGAATCCCCTCCCTCGCCCCGCTGGCCAGGCTGCTGGGGAAATCCTTGTCTTTCTGGGCTGCCAGGGCACAGGGCCGGCTCACATCCAATTTGTCACCCACCAGCGTCCCCAGCCCCTTCTCCGCAGGGCTGCTCTCAACCCACCCATCCCCCAGTCTGTGCCAGTGCTGGGGGTTGCCCCAGCCCAGCTGCAGGACCTTGCACTTGCCTTTGTTGAACCTCATGAGGATCACCTGAGCCCGCTCCTCCAGCCTGCCAAGGGCCCTTCGGATGCCATCCCATCCCGCTGGCGAATCGCCTGCACCGCACAGCGTGGCCTCAGCCGCAAACCTGATTTTTTTTTTTTTTTCTACAAAGAAAACCCATCTCAGGCCACAGCTCACGTCCCACCTCTGCCTTTCAGATGTCCCCAGCACACTAGGGAGATGTGAAACCTTACCCAGAAAAACTGCTAAAACCGGCTCCCAGGGGTGGGTGTGGACAGGCAGGAAGCAAGGGACACTGCCGCTGGCCATGCTGGCGGCCCAAATGTGGCGCGATCACCGCAGAGGGGCTTGGTTCCCACCAAAAGAGACAAGATTTGCCCCCCCCCTGCCCCAGGGCCCCGCTCTCCTGGCCAAAAGAGGCAGGCCAACCTGCCACCGGCCACTGAGGAACATCGGCTCAGCTTCTCCGCACAGACCCCACGGCTCAGCTGAGGGCACGAGAAGATTTCAAAGGTCATCAGCGGTTTATTTTTTCCGCAGAGGAAACAGGGCTGCTGGTTTTTCCACTGCAAATTCAAGCAGTTGCACGCTCCCAGCTCCAGTCCCTGCGTGGATCATTCCCAACCGCTTCTGTTTGGATCTCAGCGTGTGAATTTTTTAATCGACATGAAATCTCTAAAATGACAACCGTTGCTTTGGGCCAAAACCACACTGAGTTCTTCCCTTGAGGGTTCTAAACTTTCTTCCAAACTATGTTTTCCCTGCACCGGGAAGCACGGATCCCTGAGGAAACAATGGGGGTTGTTTAAGGGTGGCAGGCTGGGAATTCATCCCACCTCTCCCAGCCAGCCCCACTTTTGCATACTAATCTCCAGTTCAAACTTTCTGAGGACGGGCCAGAAGCCCGCTCCAGGGACCCTAACTTTCAGCTGAAGCAGGCAAGAGCATGACACGGGAATGCCGGCATGGCGGAGCCCTGGCAAAGGGGTCTGGCAAGCCCCCGGCGACCATCCCCCTGCTCCCATCAGGGCCTGGCTTCTCCTGCCACCCTGCTTTGGGATCCAGGCCACCACCCCCTCTGCCCGGTCCTGGCCTGACCCAGCCCTGCCATGCGCTCTCCCTCCTGCCCCGCCTGCTGCGGGTGCCAAGGGGTCCCCAGGACCACCTGGCCCTGCACTCAGCTGGGAGACAGAGGCTCTGCACGGGTGCAGAGGAAACCCAAGCACCAAGGGGCCCTGTCCCAGCAAGGGCCCATTGAGCCCATCCCTTGGCATTGCTCCTGCCCCAGCAGCATGGAACGTGGAGGTGGAAGGAATGAGCCCCTCCACGCTCTGCGGGCAGGACGGGCTCAGAGAGGAGCAGGAATTCCACCCCTTGGTCTCTCGGCTTGCAGCCGTGCGGGGAAGGCTCCAGTCCCCTGCATGGGGCTGCAGACTCGTTGCTGGGCTAAAAGGGTCCTGGGAGATGCCCCACAGGAGATGGGGCTGGCAGGGGGGCCAGCGTCCCCGGGGGCACAGCACCGCCGCAGCTGAGCCCTGCAGATGTGCACAGTCCCGGCACAGGCAGGGTGGGGCACTGGTGCCGTCCCCACATGGGCAGTGCCGCTGCCTGGGGTTCTCCGGGAGCGTGGAGCCAGGGCTGCCTGTGGCACTGCCACTCATCCAAGGCTGCTCACAGCAGCGTGGGCAGGAGGGCCGGGGGGCTCAGGGCTGGCTGGGCACTGAGTGTCAGCACTGAGCCCCTGGGGATGGCGGCACCCAGCCCCAGGGCTCGGGCCAGCAGTGGGAGGCTGCCACCCTCCACCGCAGCCCAGTCACCTTCACCCAGGGTTCCTGCAGGCCCAGCGGGGCAGAAGGCCACCGAGGCTGGCATGACCATCAGGACCCCGACTGATGCCTCCACCAGGCTGGGGGTGCTCACACCCTGGGGACACCTGCAGGATTCCCTAGGGACCCTAGCAGCACCCACAGTGAGGCAGCCGGTATGACCTGTCCCAGACCCTTCTACCCCCTGGGGAGCTGGACTTTTTCCCCATGGACTCCCCTGCAGTACTCAAGAGCTTCAAAAGCAGAGGGTGTTTATTATCAGAGCATCTCTGAGCCTTACACAGGAGCCACCCCTGATTTAAAGGTGGAAAGCACGCCTTCAGACAGCGGAAAGCTGGACACGCGCAGCACTTGCCATCACAAAGCACTTTCCAGATGCAAAACTCGGCTTCTGCTGCCCCACCTCGCAGGGCAGCCCCCCAGGAGACCCTGAGAAAGGACATGGGTCCCGGGATGCTGCTGAAGGGCCAATCCAACTGACATATCTGCCATCACAAGCTTTAAAAGAGGTTTAGATAACAACTGCAGCAAACTTGATTGAGACCAGCAGAAATGCTGTCCCAAATCACAGACCCAGAGGATGGTTTGCCTCGGAAGGGACCTTAAAGATCACCTCTGTCCAAGCCCCCTGCCATGGCCAAGGACACCTTCCACCAGGTCAGGCTGCTCAAAGCCCCGTCCAACCTGGCCTCGAGCACTTCCAGGGACGGGGCATCCACAACCGCTCTGGGCAACCTGTGCCAGTGCCTTGCCACCCTCAGAGCGAAGGATTTCTTCCTTCTGTCTAATTAAATCCACCCTCTTGCAGGCCAAAGCCATTACCCCTTGCCCTGTCACGATGTCCCCTTGTAACAAGTCCCCCTCCAGCTTCCTCGCAGGCCCATTTGGGCACTGAGGGGCTGCTGTAAGGTCTCCCTGAAGCCTTCTCCTCTCCAGGCCAGCTCTCCCAGCCATAGCAGAGGGGCTCCAGTACCCTGAGCATCTTTGTGGCCTCCTCTGGACACGCTCCAACAGGTCCACGGCCTCAAATAATTTAATTTACTGCTAAATGCTACC